GCCTCTCAAAGTGCTGGGATTACAGGCATGAGCCACTGCACCCAGCCTCATATAATATTTTTATTTGTGAAATGTGGTCTACCATAGGTCAGCATTAATTTAATTTAAATACAAAATATAAAGTGCTTAGCACACTAGCTGGTAGCCAAGTAATGTTCAGTGATCATGAGTTATTATCATTCTTGTGGAAATGAAATATGAAGGCTAAAAATCTGCTTCATGTTAAAATATTTTTTCAGTTTTATTGAGGTGTAATTGATATACAATAATTGCACATATTTAATGTTTACATCTTGATGAGTTTAAACATATGCATATACCCTTGATACCAACATTACAACTAAGGTAATAGACATATCCATTACCTCCAAAAATTTCCTTGTGTTCTTTTGTGTGTGTGTGCTTTTTTATTGAGTAGTAAGAACATTGAACAAGAAATCTATCCTCTTAACAGATTTTTAAGTGCACAATATAGTATTGTTAACTATGGGCATATTGTTGTCCAGCAAATCTCTAGAACTTATTCATCTTGCATAACAGAAATTTTATACTCATTGAAGAACAATTCTCCATTTCTACCTTCCCCCAGCCTCTGGCAACCACTATTCTTCGCTTCTGTGAGTCTGACTATTTTAGATCCCTCATATAAGTGGAATCATGCAGTATCTGTCTTTTTGTGACTGGCTTATTTCATCTGGCATAATGTCTTCTAGGTTCATCCACGTTGTCACAAATGGCAGGACTTTCTTCTTTTTAAGGCTGAATAATATTCCATTGTATATATATTTTCCATTTTCTTTATCCGTTCATCTGTCGGTGGTCATTTGAGTCATTTCCATATCTTGGCTTTTGTAAATAATGCTACAATGAACAGGAGGGTTTTGTCTAGACTTTTTTCTTGCCTCTTTACAACTTGTTTTGCAAAGTCATAGTCAAATTTGACCTCTTCTGTGACTCCTTCCCCCACTTTCCACTCCACTGTGATTTTTCCCTTCTCTGAATTCCAACTATGTGTCATTCATACACTACATTGTGACACCTTGCTCATTAAAGATCTTTAACATTTGCTCTGTATGTGGTCTTCTAACTTTTTGGATATGGCTTTCATGTCTAACATTCCTGTGAGGTAGAAACCACCCAGTCTTCTAATTTGCTTCATTTGATGTTCTATGTGCATCATAATATTAATAGCTGATACATGGGGAGCACTTACTGTGGACAGGTGATAATTTGACTGTTTTACATATATTAATTTATTTAATCCTCACAAGAACTTCAGGAAACAGTGATTCTTCCACTTTCTATCCACAATACAACAAAACTATAGAGAGGTAAAGTAAATTGCCTGAAGTGACACAGTCAGTAAGTGCTAGAAGTAGCATTTAGACTCAAGTATCTGGCTTTGAGTCTTTGCTTTTATGCACTATGTCAACATGAATTAGTTACCCACTGGCAAATGACATGGACCAATCAATCACTGACAGATGCAAAGGAGAGTACCACATACACCTTGTCTATAGAGAATTTATCAGAACTGCAGATAATGTTAGAAGACATTGTTTTTAATTAGTTTCCATTTATTTT